CGCTTTTATCCAAAGTGACTTACATACATTCAGTACTGTGGACAATCCCCACAGGAGCCATTTGGGGTGAAGTGTCCCAGGGACACAACGACATGCTGACTGCAGTGGGACTCGAACTTGCTACCCCCTGATTCAAAGTCCATCACACACTCCACTGAGCCGCAGCCTCCTTTTAGTAAAAGTAAAGCAGCAAAGGGGACTATACATGGTGGTAGTAGCTCTGTAACGTGGCTTGGGAACAGAAGGGTTGTTGGTTCAAATGCCAAATCAGACCAAAAATACAGAGTGTGGACTGGTACCACTTTATTAGTGCATGTCTATAGGTCATGTGTGTGTACTTCAGGCCTATGTGTGTAACTGTAACGCAACGCAAGAGTGAAAAGCTGAATTTCCCCTCGGGGATTAATAAATGTGATCTTAGTCTTTTACAATAATAGAAGTACACATTACGACATTTACACTTTTTGTTTGGGTGTTAAAAAGTATATGTTTTGTTGTGTTTTCTGGCTTGTTAATGTGATACATTAACTCTTCGATTTGTATACTTGAAATACTTTGGTTGAGTGTCAGTGTCACACTGTAGTTGAACAGGTTGTCCTATTTCACATATCTCCACTATGTCCTGTGATTGGACGTGCATTTTTAAACTGTTTGTGGATCAAAACAAACCGAAAGGATTTCTGTATGTCGTCTCAAATAGAGAAGGAGAAGAGGAGCCCAAAAATACAATTACAAATATTTTGGAAAACTCGGAGCAGGAAGGGGATGAGACACATTAAAACAATTAAATAAGTCAAATGCTGACTCGGGTTTCTGTGTCTAAGGGACCGGGGGAGAAAACAGCAGAAGCAAAGAGAGAGAAAAAAACAACTTCCTCAGTCCCCCATCTTTACTCCCCCTCCCCCTTTCTCTCTCTCTCTCTCTCTCTTGGTGGTAATGTAAATCTGAACAGAAGTCAGATGTGTGTGTGTGTGTGTGTGTGTGTGTGTGTGTGTGTGTGTGTGTGTGTGTGTGTGGTGTGTGTGTGTGTGTGTGTGTGTGTGTGTGTGTGTGTGTGTGTGTGTGTGTGTGTGTGTGTGTGTGTGTGTTTGTGTGTGTGTCTGGGGATCCTAACTACCTCTCCATCTCTCTGTCTCGTAGAAAAGGGAGAGCGACGAAGGAGGGGAAAAAAAAGACAGAAAGAAAAAAGAGAGATTTGGAAAGAATTATAAGGAAAAAGCAGAGCGTCGTTTCTGCAGAAAGCCCAACAGCTCCCTCTGTCGTCACCCAGCACTTTAACTCTCCTCTTTGATTTCTGCCTCCTCATCTCCCTTCTCCTTCTCACTCTTTGTACACTTTCAAAGAACCTCATGTACAATGCCACGGTTTGTGAGAGCGGAGCGGCTGGAGCCTAATTAAATATAAATATAACGATTACAGTGTAATAAATTAATCCTTCTATTCTCCCCCCCCCCCCCCCCGAGCTACGTCAGTGTTTGCCGTCAGTTTCCTTTAAACTCAATCCAGTTGGCCAAGCTTTACTCCTTCTACATGCATCTGAAGAATGAGGGAAGAGTAGCTTTGGCAATACTGACGTTAAAAGTGGCTCACGATCAAAGACACACTTGCAAGAAAGAAACATGACAGTGTGAATGTTTCATGAAGTCATCACATGCTATGCCACATGTATGTTTGTTGCATCTATTTTACATTTTTCGACTGATTGAATCTATTTTTATTTGAAATGCGATGTGTTTTTAGGTTGACTTACAACAGCTGTCCAGGGATTACATAAACCAACTAACTAACTGTGGCAACTCAAATAAAAAGTCCAAATAATATAAATGCAAATATTTCTAAGGTCTATATTTCCTAAGTTAAGTGGAGACACTTTCTCTCTTTATGATCCTCGAGCACTTATTGTATACTCCCCGCAAACACAGTCTGTAACCTTGATTAGCAGCGTAGCTTCATTCTCTGGCCTTTTCAAACAGGGTTGAAGCGATGCACACATGTAATGATATCTCTATAAGGAACACAGAGCATTTCCCCTGCCAGGTCCTGCCACTGCGTACACAAATCTGCCGACATTACTGTCACTCTCTCTGCCATTTTCCTGGCTGAACATCAGTGAACAAGTGTTATATCCCACAGCCAGGTTGCTATACTGCTCACCAGGGCCGTTTCCAGCTTTTTGGGGGCCCTATGCAAGATGCTGTTTGGGGGCCCTAGTTTTGACAGTGTTTTAACTACAATGGGGGGGATTCCAAAGCCTTTAAGATGATCTGTGGAGATGCATCAATCTGTTACACTTTAATAGGAAAACAGGCTAATTTCACGAATACCAAGCAATTGAAAATTACAAAAAATGATATTAAAAAGGTAAACAATAAGGCTCCTCTATGTCAATAAATGCAAGAGATGCAGCATTTTCTCAACAATGTTTAATTTACATTTTTCATCTTCCTCAGACGTCACTCATTGGCTATCAGCCAATGAGTGATCGTTGGACTTTATCGATCACTATCGATCACTATTATATATATATATATATATATATATATATATATATATCCATTTATTGTTTTCCTGCCCTAACTTTTATTTAATTTGTTCTCCTGTTTTCTTTGTACTCCTTCATTTCTATACGTTTTTGATGCAATAATGCCCCTGTATTAGGATGATGCACGGGAGGGCTACTTTCCACAAGCTATGCTTCAGCCCTCCCGCTTCTACTAATTTTGTTCATCTTTGTGTGTATGAATACAACTTTTTTAGTTTTTCGGATGAATAAAAAAATATATACTTTCAGCTTGGGGGCCCCCTAGTGGCCGCGGGGGCCCTATGCCCCCGCATAGTCCGCTTATAGGAAGAAACGGCCCTGCTGCTCACCATGATACAAGGGGCTTCTGCTTTTAAAGAATATACATCACATTCCCGGACATAAAAGCCCTAGAAAGGCAGCTAGATGTCCTGAGATAGCTAAGTGATGACGGGCACTTTCTGTCTGCCAGACAGACGGCGGTTTCTCCTCTCTCACTCCCTCTTGATTCTCTCCCTTCAAGCTGAGTTACTATGACCGAAATACAGGGCGCTAGAAGAATTAATTAGTGAATTAAGCAAAACATCATGGAGCACAAATTGGGCAATACTGTTGTGCTGTTTACAAAAACACTGCAGTGAGGATGTTGTGATGTTAAGCCCGGTCAAACAGCAACTATACGAAGAAAAAAGCAGCAATTGAACACAGGCATTATGTTCCTGTGATGTGTCTTCTGAGTGGCTACAAAGTCAACTCATAGAGCCGGAAGAAAAAAGGGAGAAGTCAGTGTTTCTTCTAAACATGTTGACTGGTCTGAAGACTAATTAGGAAAATGCAGGGGGGCGGGAATAAACAGCGAAGCACTGTCTGAGAAGTAACCACATAATAAGGATGTGTGGAGGAAAACGCTGATACAACACTGCAAACTATAAAAGAACAAATCACCTGAGAGGATACAAGAAGTTTCTCTTTGTTTAACAAACTGCAAGTTCCTCCAAAGGGTTTGCAGATTAAAAATGCTGCAAGAAACAGCGAATAAAATACAACGGCAAATGATTTTCTCAATGGCTCCCATAAGACTAAGACAGAAGGGAGAGAGCCTGGGAAGGGGGGAGACGTTTCACAGAGCAACAGTGTGGGAGACAGAATGAGAGAGAGGTGGAGAGGGAGAGAGATTATTGCTTCAGAGCAGCAATCTTGAGCTGTGCCATGAATACCAAAAGACTCCAGACCGCCTCTCCCTGAAAACGCAGCGGAATTGCAGCTGCCCAAATTATACCCCGATATCTCACTCACCGAAACCGACTCATCAGCAGCTCGGTGCCCCGTGCATCCATCATTTATCATATAGCAACCAGCACCAAGATTTCAATGGTATATGCATGCGCAACAATGAAAGGCTGATCTATAATGTGGCCCTGCAGGCACGCGGAGCAAAGCGCGCGGACATAATTGAATGCAGAGTGTGTCTGAAATGACCCTACGGGCACAATGATATCTAAGCAATTGTATGCACTTTCACAACATGGAGAGAACAAGGACGAGGCTCTGGTTAAAGTATTAAAATGGACTGAATACTAACCATATGGGATCTTTAGGGATTCTCATTTCAAGAGCTTGATTCCACACAGAGATAATGAGCCGTGCAAAGAGGTGTCTGTGAGGAAATGACGATGAGAGAGGATAGAGTTGGTGAAATACTCAGGAGATGAGTTTGGATAAAAGAGGACGAGACAGTAAAATAGCTGCCACTCCAAGAAAAGTATGCCTCGTTTGAATTTTTTTAAGTGATTGAGTGCTTTCTCTCCTTTATGAATGATGTGGTTTGGTCCACATCCAGCCCATGTAAACGGTGATCCAAATAAAAGTTGTGCGTCGCCGTTACGCAGAGGCTCCGGGAGGCAGCGAAAAGAGCACCGAGATCTGCCTTTATACGTGGCCAGACACACACACACACGCGCACACACACACACACACACACACACACACACACACACACACACACACACACACACACACACACACACACACACACACACACATATATGCACTCTCGCAGACGCGCAGACACACACCAAACGAGCGGAAAAAACGCACTCAGACACACACTGCGCTGGAAATGTGAAGACATACAGTGTGTGAATAAAACGCACCAATCCAACCGTCATCCACTGAAGAAAGTGAGCTCTGTTTCGGCAGCAGAGCAAACACACTCTCACTTAACCTCTAATGCGCAAACACTCTGTGGTGATATTCCTTAGTATCTCACACATAAACGTCCATGGTGACATTTTAATGTTTAATTGATGTGTGACAATCCTGCGTTTGGACCAATCCAGACTCGAACCAGCATCCCGGGAACCCAGAGCCCTCACTCCGGTCTCTCTCTCCGGTTTTTACGCTCATTAAAAAGCCTCCGCAGAAACGAAGGGGATGAATGGGACTGTGTGGATGCAGAATTATTGAACTTAAGCCTTACCTTTGGAAGTGAGAGAGTCCGTGCGCAGCTGTCCGTCTCTCCAAGGAAATCCCCTCCAATACATACAAGCCGATCTCTCAACAAGTACTGCTTCTTCTATCAGATGTCCAACACATCCACTGATGGGAACCCCAGTTTGTTCTGCTAGGAGTGTGCGCTCGGAGGAGAATAAAACAAACCCAAAATGTCCTTTTTTCTTATCCGCTGGAGCGCAGAGGCAGAAAAATCCCCTTACCAATCAAGCAAGATGAAATAAAAAAAAAGATGACAGACAGTTTTCTTGATAAGGTTCCAATACTGAAGTGATGGAGAGGAGTGGTGGTGATGGAGGTGGTTGTCAGGAGAATACAAAGGGAAATCAGAGTAGCGTCCCTCCCTCCTCCGGGTATGAAATCCGGTTCAGTCAGCGCCGTTTATCCGTCCTCTCTCCACGAGCCTCGGAAGCGGTGTGAGCGAGACGAACGGGTGCGCGGCAGCAGCAACGGGAGGAGGGGGGGAGAGAGAGGGGGGGAGAGAGAGGGGGGGAGAGAGGAGGGGGGTAGATGAGGGAGGGAGATGTCGCTGCCGATGGAGGGCGTTGGAAACTAGATTAATCCTCTCTCCCTCTCACTTTTCTCCTCTGGTCGGTTTTATGGCGGGCTTGTTACAGTAATCATATATCGTTACGTTCATATTTAAATCAACATGGGGATGAGGAGATTAGTCGTGGCATTACATACAACATATTAAGGGCAATACATCTCGAAAGAGCCACTTTTGACTTTCGCAGATGTGAAGCAAAGTTGTGGTTTAAATGTATTTAAATGTATGAGATTTGTGTGTAAAAAAACACTTATGCTGCGATATATTTGTTGTATTTAATGCATAAGTGTTAGGTCACATAATTCCCCCTTTATCATGACACTGTTCCTCTCTTCAGATCTGAATCCAGACTGAGAGGCTGCAGCAGAAGGAGGGGGGGGGGGGGGGGTCACTGAATGCAACAGTTGCTCTCTCCTCATTGGCTGAGAGCGTATACTTAGAATCTCAAAGGCAACCAATGACAGGAGAGGAGGGAGGAGCGTCTGTGGAAGACCCTTCTTTCTGAAAGATGATTGGCTCATTAACAGCACCGTTTAAAATAGCAACTGGCCAATCAGGACAAAGAGGGAATATACTCTGGGGAAAAGAGTTCAGTCAGGTAACGGAAGGTTTATGAATGTCTCCTTTTGGGATGTATTTGAGTAAAGCCATGCTTTTTATTTATTCATATAATTATGTTTAAGTGTCATCATTTAACTCGTTTTCTGCGTAAATATGTGTCAGAGACATTATGTAGCCTACACAGCTTTCGTGTGAATATATTCCAGATGTTTACAGTACAGTCAAATACACAGATTTATTTAACCCTTGTGTTATGTTCACATTTCGCACCCTTTGGTAATGTTCGGATCAAATTGACCTGGGACATATTTCAGGGTTTAAAAAAAATACAGAACTAAATTCAACACATGCACAATTCCTTATATATATTGTCTTTAACTCTTTCCCCAACAATATAAATGAAATATATGATGATATATTGAAAATACTCTTTGCTAGATCAAATTTAACAATGGAAGTGTCCATCGTTTTTTGTGATAAAAATGTAATTTATGTTAAAAACAAATACACTGTAATAAAAACTAGGTTTACATTTTGCTCATGCTTTTCTAGGACAAATGTAAATGAAATATGTTTTAATTAATGGTTATTATTTTTAATCTGTCATATACTAATCAAAGCCCTGAAGGAAATAAAGCAATTTAGCAGCAATTGGAACACAAGAACCACATCCTAAAGTATTTGGCTGTGAAATAGAGATGATGAAACATCCATATAAATGACAGAACAGATATAAACACAAAGCAAATTAAAACAATTAACAGTCACTATTCATAAAATACAGTATATCCAAAAACTATATTGATGAAGTGACGCTGCAGAACATCATGTGAGTCAATGGGCAAGTCCGTTTAGGAAACACATGATGTCCAGAACGTCTTCGTGTGTATAGCACAGATGTACTTGTTGCAGTTGCTGCATGTAGTCTGTGTCTTGGAGTCCTTTGAGGGTCCACAGACCTCACAGCTGGCTGTGGGGGTCTTCCAGAAGCTGACTGTGGGGGTCTTCTTGCGGCTGGCTGTGGGGGTCTTCCAGCAGTTTGCTCTGAGTCAAGTTCATCTTCCAATTTGCTGTCAAATTCTGAGTTTACCTCCACATCATCCTCATCTTCAGAAATGTCTTCCTGTCCCACTTCACCGTGTTCCTCTAATGCATTCCACTCACTCTCATCCAGTATTAGCTCCAAGGCTCTGAGCAGAATATCTTTTGGCCATTTTGCTGGTAGAGAATTGTAGTTCTGCACTACACTGTTACTACACTGAGGTTATGTCTCTGTTTAGTCCCTCCTCCGACGTGCAGGTGCGAGGGGGACAGTGCGAGAACATTTAAAATGTTTATAATGTTCTAGGATAGTTTTGTGTACACACACTACAAAGGGTAAAGATCAAGGGAAAACAGGATCAAACAGCTTCTCTATGCATACGATTGTGTGTGTGTGTGTGTGTGTGTGTGTGTGTGTGTGTGTGTGTGTGTGTGTGTGTGTGTGTGTGTGTGTGTGTGTGTGTGTGGTGTGTGTGTGTTTTTCACTGTCTCTCTGTCCTGGTATTGTATCCGGGGCAGATTAACCCGAACCTCTTATGAAGGACATAAATGCGGGTGGACAAAAATAAAAACAATTCCACATGTCCTTCACAGTAAATAAGCCCCGGCCATTGAGTTTCAGGTTGAACGAAAATATCCTTATTTATTTTTGTATTCATTGAAAATGGAAATCGGGTCAATTTGACACAAGGTATCAGATTAAAGTGAGTGTGCACATGTCTGCTGCCTCTTGTAGACGTTATTCCCCACATTGGACAGAAAGGGTTTCTTTAGAACAAGCAGAGCTCAAAAAACGCTTCCACTGATATAAACTCAAAGGAAGTTCTGTATAATCGATGCTTTTAAATGCACCTTTTACTTCAAATGTAGGCCTATTGCCAATATCATATCTCTGTTGGACGATTTATATCAGTTTTATCACTTTACCTTCAGCGCATTTGGAGGCAGTTCTGTAACATATTTTGGCTAGCAAGCAAACAGGTATCATTTAGTCCAGTGTACAATGTAACTATTCGAAGTAAATATGTATGATTTGTATTTTACATGTGATTACAAAAACAAGACATCATGGTTAATTGAGCAACCCTCAAATTGTCAGAGGCTCAGGTGAGAAAGCCCTCTAGTGGCCGTAGTTATTATGACGATCAGGACGGTTTGCTGAACGGTCGAACAAGCGATTGAGTAAGAACTGTTTATCCGAAAAGTACAGACTTTTACCAGCAGACATCTTTGTGTCCTGCGTAAAACCAGATACTTGTTACGATACTTTCGCACTTAACAACGCCACTTCCATATCATTGTTCCCAACAACAATGGTATCCCCAAACCTGACTAAATAATGATGTTGCCTTATCCTAACTAAGAATGACCCTGTGGAGACCTGTGTTTATTCTGAAAGGACTGTAGGTCTGTAACAAGGGTACATTTACATGTTCTGCTAAACAACATAATGACATCTGATAAAAAGTCTATTCTATAGTATGGAAAAACAAGATGTTCTATCATGTGTTTTTTAGGATTTGTTGAGATATTTCTTCATAATGAACAGCTAGGTCCAGTTCACTAACTAACAATACGACATGGTAATACTATATATATATATAATCATACCGTTTCGCAGCTCTTCTGAGTTCTGCATTGAGACATTTCAGGAAACTTGTCCTCACAAAAGCATCAGCGCCGGATGTCAGTTTGTTTTGAATGGCTCTGAGCGGCAGGCAGTCCTTTTTGTAAATGTCTGTGTTTTGATATGGCAGGGTTGAAAAGCTCTGACACCGTGCTCATTTGTTACCGGGCCAGCAGGGGCTTCCATTCAGCGGGGAACACTAGATGATAATACACATTTTCATTATTGCATTTGGCAGGCCTTTATTACATTGGATGCAAAATGACATCATTAGATTAAGATAAAGGGCAGGTTGTCAAATGTAATTAAATGATATTTTTGGAACATGTAAACAACTGTAGACTCTTTTTGCACCCAGTCCTTTCTCTCCTGGATGTCTAGTATGCAGATAGAATGAATTTCAATGAATGAGTCAGTCTTTTGGATGTATTAAAATGCTTAATGCACATTGGCTTTCAGTCCTTAACCCAATCATATTATTTAGTTGTTTTAAAATATGTGTCAAAGTTAGGGGCAGCAAGATTTCTGAAAACGAAAAGACGGATTGATTTTCTTCCCCGATCAGAGACATATATTTTCTTTTCATGATTTTTTTATGAAGCTTGTCCTCTCACCTTTCTGTTTCTGATGATCGAGGACCAAACTGTTCACCCCAGAAAACGTCTGGATCAGAAACCATCAGTCTTCAACTTTCAAACTGAGATTTTTCTCCTGGAAAGGTTTTTGGGGCATTTGTAGTAAAAAAACAACAACGAACAAAAATAAATGGATAAAAAAACCTCAACGCTTTTTTAAAATTCAAAATGTAAGACATTGAGTTGAAGTAGAGGACAAAACAAATACTCGATTGTTTTCCCGATTTGATCTCAGGAACCTGAATGCACTGTTGTTTGTGTGCAATCGTTAAAGCCCACTGAGACAAACATGTGTTGTGATGTTTGATGATTTGATTTTGACTGTAAATCAGATTTCTCTGTAACGGCCCGTCCACACTACAGCTTCGACAGCTTCAAAAACGGTTTCCAACGCGTCTGCCCATTCACTTTGAATGGGGTGACGTCACTTTTCGCCGAACTGCATTGTGGGAAGCAGAGCGGAGCTTTCCTGGCGTTTCAGGCTGCACAAGTTGAGCAATGTTCAACTTTTGAAGCTTTCGGTGGAAGCGTCAGCCAATCAAATCATATGCCAGTACAAGCTCTAGCCAATCAAACCGCTGTTTGTGTGTCAGGGGCGGGAGATTCATGTGATTGGTTGTTGGTCGAGCTTCAGACACGCCAAGCTCCAAGCTTTTTTTGAAGCTGTAGTGTGGACAGGCCGTAACAATCACAGGCGACTGACTGTGAGGGAGTGCGGTCGTCTTTCAATCGTAGGTTGTGGGTTCGATCATGACTTAACCCCAAATTGCTTCTGGCAACGTTGTGTTAACATGTGTGAATGTTAGCTTACTTTAGTAAATGGCACATTGTTGCCATGATGACTTGTAGAGTAAAGCACTTTGAGGGGTTGTAAAGACTGGATAACGGGCTGTATAAGGATCGTCAGTTTTCTAACATATTGCAGATATCTCTAAGTATATGATGTTAGTTCATTTATACATTTTCTCTATGTGATTTTTAAACTCTTAAACCATGTTTATCATT